GGAAGGTCGCAGTAGATTTGTTTAATATCGAATATACTGAAGGGGTTTTGATATCAGTTTCCGTTAGGTACAGGAACTGCGTTACCTGATACAGCCACATTAACGTTAACATATATTTATCATTGTTATTTATCTGTATATAAATATACTTTGGGCAGTTAGGTGATCATTGTTAAATATCATTATCGGATAATATCCGGATGAAAATGTGATAGCATAAATTATATCAAATTGGACGGAAAATTAATTAAATTAAAACTGCATCAGCTGAGTTCATCCTACCAATTTAAGGTTCAAAATATGGGGGGGGGGGATTGTGATAGCTCTAATCCTGTCTGACCATGAAAGCTAATAAACGTAGTTGTGGGGATGGGAGGGAGACGACGTAATAGAATAACGAGACTTCGAAATACCTATCATGGCCATTGAACTGGGAGTCAGATCCACACAGATGTTAAGAGACTTCATACATCCTTTGTAACGGTCAGACGTCAGAAATAAACATTACGATATGGCAGGCATTGAGACACTTCAGCACGTGATAGAATTCCATCCAGACACCGATGATATTCGGGCATTGTTACTGAGTAACATACAGGCGGTTGAGATTTCAACGGGAAAGCTTTAAAAATATTTGGCCAGAAATTCCTAACCTCAAAAACGTGAAACTTTCTCAAGATACTTACGTTTATAATAAGATACGAAACGGTATGCGGAAAGCGGTGCTACTCTCTTCAGGAAACTTCACAAAATTCACTAATAGACATTATTTTATCATTATGATCATGCAGTCCATATTTTCCATGTACATTTTATAATCTTTCCTTGTATTAAACGTCACACGCACCTTATTTTGAATGACCTCAAATTGCAAGAAATGGGTGGAATTTTCGAAATAAACAACTGTAATTTTCAATTGCAGTGTCCATAGATAACTTTTTCACTGAAATTCTTTGGTAAAGCATAATTTATCTCAACAAACACCTTAACAACAGTGGAATATCTTTTCGGCAAAGCTGGAGACAGCAATGTCAATTGCCCAATAATTTGCTGGTATCTCTTTTTCTTCAATAGTTTTCAGTCACAACGTGAACAACTATAACAGATGTTAAGTGAGTTTACCCTTAGGCGCAAAAAAAGATTGATATACACTTCATAAATTTCAAAAATATTTATTATTTTCACATTTCCTCCATTTTCCCACTTATATTTTGTAATACTCCTTTGTATGAGTACACAGTCAAACATTTTTCTGAATGGTCCCTAATAAAATAAGTGGGAGGAACCGTCGAGATAACCAGTTCCCAGTCCTAGCTGCAGCTTCAACTGACATCCCTCGCTTGACCCATTTTTACGTACATCAGAGCAGGAGTTAACGGAATATATAGACTATCAACAATAGAAATTTCTTTTCGGCAATGTTCGAGAGTGTAATTCTCGCTGAAGCATAAACACTTTTGTCATTATCACAGTTTTGTCAAACCCATAGCTTCAACAGGAGGATTAGACAGGGAAAAAGCAACGGCCGTAGTTTTTACGTAAGGGTGTCTTCATTAATCAGTTAATATTTTAAAAAAAAGTACAGTGACTGGGGTCTCTTTTTGATGGTTTTGTGATTCTTAGAATATAGAAACTGCTGCTTGACGGAAATCATTCTCCCTTGCTTTGTTATTTAGTATGGATCTTCCGTTTCCTATAATTGTTGAATTTGTCAACTTCTCTTCTGTTTAGAAAGCATAAGCGACAATCAAAATTTCACCCCACGGATCGAGGTGTCTTTTATTCTTTTAATGAAATTCACGCTTCTTACAAAGGAACTCACAGAAACTGAACATCAGGAAGTTTTGGGAAACTTATATCCTGACAAGTAAGACAAAACAAATACTTTCCTTTATTAACGTGAACTGATTCCTTTATTTCCCCTCGTACTTGTTCATCGCTCTACCAAATTTCATAATTGTTCTAAGGGCCACGTTTATGGGTCTCCAATTCTGCCCATAGTGCCTATATATGCATCACACTCTGTTAATTTGTTTTTACTCCTGGATATTTTTTTTATGTCCTATTGTTTCCACTTTGGAGCATAGGGCTGATTTATCAGTTTCATGATTATTTTACAGTAGGTAGGATTCCTTTGACGGGCGATCAGCCCGTCGCAAGACCTCTACCTAAACACAGGACAACACAAATACAGAATAAACGCATACACACACCAAACATCCATGCCTCATGTGGGATTCGAATCCTGGGTAATACGTGTATTATTGTTCCAAAAATTACGACGACATAGTTACCAGTAATTTATTTTTTTTTTCTTATGAAATGAAAAAGCTTTGCAGGTGTCATGCATGACTTCTGATTTACACGATTCAGAATTCTCGTGACGTAGGCTGTTGTCACATTCTTGGTACACAATGGCACCACTGTTTGAAGTTAAATCTGTGACATTCAGTTCCTTGCTTTCTTTGACTCTCTTCTGATTTTCCCTTTCCATTGATAGCATAAAGTTCCTTATGATAATTGTTTTCAACATGTGATATAATCTAAAAAATCACTTTAGAATACTAATTTTTATGCAGATTACTTGTCACAGATGGAGTTGACAGCTAATACTACCAATTCGCTGCTAAGTTTTTAACTAGTCCACCAGGGGATATTTTCAACAATTTACAAAACCGAAGCGCATTCCTACTTAGAACGTACGTACGTTCGCCCGTGCGGCGAGAACCGGCGAGAACTAATTGTAGTTGCAGCTCTCATCCACTTGAGTCTGTGGCAGCACTGCATTGCGTTCCGATTTCACTCGATTCACAGAACACAGAGATGAAGATCACCCGCCACATTCAAATTTAGACTTTGGTTGGTGCAAGTAAAAAAGCCACACGCGCAGTTATACAGACATTCCATTTTACGTACTGTATGCTACTATGCAATATAAAGACTATTTCAGGAAGCTGTCAATATCATAAACTATATATACCGTTGACTGTTATGAGGATCAGTGGGAGATGCATTAGAATATATGTGGGAGTTGGAGCAAGTTGGCTCAAGACACAGCGGCTCTGATTTTATTGGCAGGTGCCTAGTTCGAGTTTGGTTCGAGGCACCGATTATTTTTAATAATATGTTTTCTTGTTTTTTTTTTAGTCCATCCAAGCAAGTGCCTGGAACATCTGATTAGGTTAGGAGCTCGTTCTTCCATATTCCTTACAGTTCATAATTCACTTATCCTAACGATCAGGGCCTATAAAGTCTACGGCACTGAGAACATCGTTACATAAAGAAGGCAGTGGTAACTTGAGTGTTATTCCGTTATGCGCCTCAAGGGACTGAAATAACTCACCAAAAATCTGAGGTATTTGGTCTACTTCCGGAACGAGATATGAACCCGAGATGTAAGATGGTGCTAATTACTCTACCATAAGGTTGTGATTTTTTTATTCGGAAATAATAAAAATATGAATCTAGAGGAAAACTAAAATTGTTGGTGCCCTGGTACACAAATCTAGCTTTAATATTGTGACGTGTATGCCCATTGCTAGGCAAAGGGTCGGTAAACATATTCCTGCAAACAGACGCGCAAACGACAATAGATGGACATCTATTGTTAGGTGACGGACCTGTATACACTCATTCTTGACAACAGAAGATGTGTATTCGTCATGTATAACAATAAATTCTTAATATTAAAATCTTTCAGGATTCGTCATCCATACGTAGTATCTCAAATACGCGAGTCACGCCAGTCTTGCTCTATGGGAGCACTCTTCCTACATTCACGTGTGTATTGTGCTCTGTGTTGTGTCCTTCTCCTGTGACTGCGTGTGTTGCACTGTACACACATATCCAGCAATACAACGCACGCAGTCACAGGAGAAGGACACAACACAGAGCACAATGCACACATGAATGTAGGAAGAGTGCTCCCATAGAGGAGGATTGGCGTGACTCGCGTATTTGAGATACGACGTACGGATGACGAATCCTGAAAGATTTTAATATTAAGAATTTATTGTTATACATGACGAATACGCCTTTTAGTCATTTTAGAATGAAAACGTCATGGCATGCAGTGCAGTAGTTTTACGTGCATAGAGACACACCTGAAAATGGCACATTAGTGCTGAAACATGTAGTGTAAAAGTGAAGAGAAAGGTGAAATTAACTAAAAAGTGTGCACTGTAAGACGGTTAGCGTAAACACACGTCATGAACATGAACCAGTGCAACAGGACGCTAAAATATAACATCACATGTCCCATCACAGACGGAAGTAAAATACAACGAACTACAATACATAAAAACAATAGTACATAAAATTACTACCCTACACACACATGCGTGTATACAAAGCAAACAAATTAAACCCCGTAGATATGAACACACTACCATAAACTAAAAAAAAAAAAAATAAGCTCCGTGGTTTTAGTCCGCGAGCGAAATATACCGAGCGAGCGAACTCGAACCACTAGACCACAGACGCGGTCACACAACCATAAAACAAACAAAAAAAAAATAACCACATTTATACACACTCCCAAAGAAACTAAGATAATCAAAAGACTATTCAAAAACACAAACATAAGAACATCCTTCGAAACCACAAACCCGATAGAAAATCACCCTAAACCGAAAACCCTCAATGCAGACATTCTGTTATTTAACGTCACTGTCAACACGTCAGACTAGCAGATCGAATTTTAGGACGAGTAGTGAATACTGAATTAGAAACGATGCTTGGGGGGGGGAGACTGATTGCAACCGCAGTAGCCCTTCTCCTGGACGACACTTCCTCATGCACTGGTAATCTCCCGTACGTGATATGGATCACAGTATCAATTTTCATAAAATACAGTCATTATTTCGGAGACAAAACAAAAGGATCGACTGGGCTTGTGTACACGACTAAGAAACGGACACAGCGTGATATGTAGCAAACATTTTCTGACCTTACTGTACTCACACAGCCGCTTTTGCCGTGCGTTAACGTCATCCTGTGGAGCGAGGCTGAGTAGTCATGTGACTGTTGCAGAAGCTGGCTGGTACCTCTCACAATAGGAAGCCGGACAACTGCAGTGTGATTGTGCTTACAAGGTAAGGACTAACTAAGGAGACTTGATGATTTTGCTTTGAGCTGATTATACCGTAAATATCTATTTGAATAAACTGTACTTGTACAGACATCATAGAGACATATGACACAATGTTTTACGTATTTAATGAAAAAGAATTTAACCATCTGAATTCGGAAGTTAATCTAAATAATACTTAAAATTGAGTTCCTACCTCACAGAAAACACCAACTTGCCCTCCATGGCGAATGCTGTTAGTGAATTAATAGTTGCTTTATCGTAATTATACAAAATAAATAAATACACTCTGTGGAGAAAATGGCTAAATTTGTTAAAGCCAAAGCAGGTGGTAAATATATTAACCATTGTGCTTTAAAATATTAACAAACAGGACACGCGAGGTATGTAATAAAATACCAGCTTTGCTTAATAAAGAACGATATAAGCGAAAAGAATATTATAGAAAAGTGCCTACTAATATTTCAGCTAGAGGTCAAATGCTACTGTCAAGGGCACCTAACTGCAAGAGACAGTAAAAACTGTTCTGGTATTTAGCAGTACCACTGGAGAAGAGATTACAGAAGAATTAGGTCAAGATTTCAGTTAGAAGTAGAACTAATTCGTGTGAACCCATCTCCCTATTTCTTATTGGGGATATAATTGTAAAATCGACTTGCATCATAAGAATATTTTAAAATTAATTAAAAAGATAAATACTGATTAATCGACTTGAATGGTGTGTGATTTGTCAAGATTAAGAGAGCATAAATAGACATTGATTGCTGTGATATTAACGGTTTGAAGCAAGAAATACTTCTAAATATTATTTTAAAATTATGTTACTACATCACAGAAAGAAATTTCGATGCCTCTTCGTTACAAAATTCTATCAGTGAACGCTATGTAACGGAAAAATCACTGTATGTTCTGAGGGTCAAAAAACCATAACCATTCTCTGGGGAGATGCAGACTTCATTAATGTTAAGATAGGTAGAAGCACGCACGCACACACACACACATGCCACTGTGTTTTAGATACAATTAGAGTGACGCCCCGGGAAGATTGTTTTGTTTACGTAGTGTCAAGACAACCTAGAAATGACTCTTACTGTACTAAATGCAGGTGGTGTGATTCTAAATTCACTCGTAATGGTGATTGTCCGAAAAATTATCTTTGTAATTGTGTAGTCGGTATAGCGACTAGCTATGGGCTGGGCGACCAAGAGGTCGTAATTCGAGTCTGGTAGGGTCAAGAATTTTCTCTTCTCCACGTCATCCAGACCGGCTCTGTGGTCCTTCCAATGGGTACAAGGGACTATTTCCACTGGGATAAAGCCGCCGGGACTTGAAGCTGACCACTCACCTCCAACTAATGCCGGAGTCAAGAAAATGTGGATCTATGCATCCACTTCCCCATATGCATTCATGGTGTAGTGCTGAATTAGCTAAGCACAGGGACAACCTTACCTTACTTATAAGTCAAGGGAACATCCGTTGCTAAGATTAAAATAAAGAATTGACCTTGATATATGGGCGCAATTTTGAGTGACTGAAGTAACTGACCATGTTCTTAGACCTGCCCGTTCTAAGCAGAATGAGAAGTGGACATGGTCGAGTACACTACTGAGATAAGGATTTTAATGTGTATCTGTTGCAGTGCGTCACCATCCCTCACACAATTCAGCTGCAGCCTCGGTCACCATAATTCTTGCCATATTTGCCACGTGCAACCCAGACACCAGGGCTAAGAACACGACCTGAATGTAAGGGCCTATTTTAGTGTTACTAATTTCTTGGCAGTGCATTTTGCATGGACATTACAGGGGTACACTGGGACATTTATAGACAATTGTAAAGGTAAGGATATTCCTGTAACAGGCCGTGAAGTTCCATAGGATTGTGAGACGTCGAGGCTCTCATATTTCTAGAAAATCGGCTCGCAGATGGCGGTGAGGTTGTCAGCCTTACGCGCCGGCCTCCCTTTACCCCTGGTACTAATTTCTGTTAGAGGCTGAGTCGAACCCAGGACATTACTGCGGCTGAAAGAATAGCTTAATTAAAAAATCCAATTGCCTCATCGGGAATCGATCCCGCAACCTTCAGGCTTGCAGCATAGTGCCTCGACCAACTACACTACTGCGTGCCCACAGACACTTGCAGTAGAGGGCAAGAAGAGAGTAACAGTTATGGCGCCTATCCGTACTTATGTTTAATTGTTCCGGAATCCGTAAGACGTTCAGATAAAGTGTAACGGAAGTGAAATACGCCGCTTACTTTTAGAACATTTTTCTTTACGATAAATGTTTAGAGAGATGTTAAAAAAATTATAATCCAGGATAGTATCTGATATTATTGTCCATGTTCTGACAAAATACTGGAACGCATAGGTAAATAAAAATAAAACCCATCAATATAAAATTTCATGAAAATCTCGAACTATTACATCTGGACAGACGGATACCGAGACTTGCCGAAACTAACGGGCTCGTTTTTCCAAATTTTCGCGTCAAAAGCGCCGAACAGATTCACAGAAGGAAGATACATGAAAAGGCAAAGTTATCCCTCGGCTTAATTAATTAATCACCAGGACATGAAAAAGTATGGGGGATGGAGGTATAACTCCACTATTCTTGACATTGGAACTAGATGGAGGTGGATTGTGAGCTTCACGCGCACGCCGCTTTACCTCCGGGGAAACAGGAACTTGTAAACACTGTGTATGGGGTTGGGTGGAAGCCAAGCCGCTCTGCACGTTACGGAGAGGAGAAAATATGTTATTCTTGCCGGGAATCGAACCTCGATTCTTCGATCATCCGCTTGTAACTTAGTCGCTATACCAACTAAGCTATCCCGATTCCGAAGGAAGACTTATCCTTGCGAATGTGTCAGCCCATATTGGTGAAGCTGAGTTCGATTCCAAAGACAGAATTTCCTTTTCGCAGCGATTCCTCCAGTATCTTACTAAGACACGTTTGCAGGCTATTTGCTTTGGGGGAACAGATGTAGCTCAGTCAGCACAGTAACTATGTTACTGGTGAGACGAAAGAGGTATGGCAATTCGATTCTTGACAGGGATACAGCCTTTACAGTCATTCCAGTTTTCTGTGTACTAATTTTTATTTCGCTCAATGGGGGTTGGAGTCCAACTGGGTCCATTCGGCACGGCGGGCACTGATTGGTCTATTGTAGCCTGCCCCGGGTGATTATGATGATGGATAATTTGGTGAAAAGAAGATTAGCAGGGGAAACCGAAGTACTCGGAGCAAATCCGCCCCAGCGCCACTTTGTCCGCCACAAATCCAACTTGACCACACCCGGGAAAGAATCAGGGCCGCCGCGGTGGGAAGCCAGCGACTAACCGCTTGAGCTATGGCGCGGCCGCTTCTGTGTATCGTGGTCAATCTGTTAGTCGCTGGCTTCCCATAACGGCGGCCCGGGTTCGATCCCGGATCTGGTCAGGTGGGATTTGTGATGGACAAAGTGGTGCTGGGGCAGGTTTTCTCCGAGTACTTCGGTTTCCACTACCAATCTTCATTCCACCAATTGCTCCACAGTCACCCTCACCTATCATCTTGGTCTGAAACAATAGGCCAGAAGTGGCCGCAGTACAAGGGACTTGGTCCCACCCCACTAGCAATAATAAAAAAAGTACACAGATATACTCAGTTTGTCACAAAATTCCTCACTTTTCCCCCAAATCTAAAGGGTCCATTGCCGTTTTCACAAGTACACGTTCACCGGAAACCTGTCTCGAATCATGTTAATCTTGCCCACGTCATTGCAATCTGTTGTCAAAATCAATGTTGATACTATCCTGCTAACTGTGTGTAGTAAAGTAATTAAAATATGTTTCAGCATGTCTGAGAGGCTCCTTTGGCTTCTCCTGCTGCTGTGGGGACCTTACACACATCTGGAAGCTGAAGGCGTACAACTGGTGAGGTTGCCACCAGATTCTGAACTGACCCAGGCGTTCATAATCTCAGAGCGACTTCACACAGACAATGTTTCATCTACTGCGTTGCTTCGTGAGCATTCTGAAGAGCCTACAACTAACACGAATGATGGTTTTGCTACTCTCAACGTTACTGTGTGTGGAACAGTGAACCTGAACAAAATCGTGGATGGACTGCTTGACAGCTTGCGGACGGATATCATAGAGCGAGGAAAAGATAAAATTAGTATACCAGATATGCACAAAACTTTCCACAAGAAAGTGGGATTTCTCAAAGTGAAAGGTCAGTTTGATGGTGAGGATGGCTGGGCGAAAAATCTTTCTACAGTGCACAGAACTGCAGACGTTGTAGCTTCATCATATGGCAACTGGATATCTGTGTCATGTGGCTTCGGCCTCGGATATCTGGAAGTGGGATACGACAGATATCAAGCCAAGTTCATAAGAATCGGACCGCACGGAAAGATAAGGGGTATTATTGGCAAGAATTCTATACTTCTCAATGCGACTGTGACATTGGGAGCTCATAACTGTACTATGACTTTGAATGAACTGGTTTTGAACCAGTTCGGAGAGCTTAATTTGAACGTAACAGGTTTGGGCCCATTAAACTGGCTATTTTCCAAAATCTCTACTTTGATTCTCCAGCACTTCAAAATGGAAATTAAAGGCAAAATAGAATCCACACTGAAGGAAGAAATAACAGAGAAGTTATCCCATTTTGATTGCATGGAATACTTGCGCTAATTGTGATGTATGAGGTTTGTGTAGCGAAAACCAGAGAAAAAGTCCTGTATTTGCGGATAAAAAGCTGTGTGCTCTGTAAATTTTACCGATGTTTCAAAGAAACATGCCTCCGACTTCAGGATAGAAGTTTCATATTCCAAAACACAGTAACCTTCATAGTCATTGCTGCAAAAATCTAAAATTTCACATAAACTTACAAGTTTTGTAACATACCTCGTTTCAGAGCCGCGCCATTGCTCAAGCAGTTAGTCGCTGGCTTCCCACAGCGACGGCCCGGGTTCGATCCCGGGATCTGGTCAAGTGGGATTTGTGGTGGACAAAGTGGCGCTGGGGCAGGTTTTCTCCTGGTACTTCGGTTTCCCCTGCCAATCTTCATTCCACCAATTGCTCCACAATCACCCTCACCTATCATCTGAGGCTGGTACAATAAGCCAGAAGTGGCCGCAGTACAAGGGACTTAGTCCCAACTCACTAGCATTAAAAAATTACCTCCTTTCATGGTAGGATCCTCTAAATTCGGACTACATTTCACAGATGGTTATAACAGTTCTCTGAATATTGCTTAGCTGTTTTGTGCCACAAAATAAATTATGTCACGAAATTTTTGTAGCTTTATCCATGTATGGCGATCACTAGCAAAATTAGTTGAAGCTATAATGTACGATTAAGTTATACACAAGTGCAAAACTCAGTGCAAACGTTACCTGAAATAAAGAAGTAGGCCAGGGGGGTGGTTAGGGGGAGGGGACCAATGGGAACAGTGAAGAGCGATTAAGGCCATATATGGTCAGGTTGGTGATGGTGTGGGGGGAACGGCGAGTGAATCCAGGCAACTTGGAGGTCAATGGCACGGAGGTTGCGGTTAGACAAGAAGAACCGGTTGGCTGGGGACAGGCTACTGACGTCAATGACATGAAGAAGAGCTGGGTGACTTGGTGGAGTTCTCTTGAGCGGAGAGATGAGAGGTAAAACCCTGTTTCCTTTTGTCTCAACACGTCATGGAAGCCTCTCATCTCTTCCCTCAAGGGAACTCCACCAAGTCACCCCAGCTCTTCTTCATGTCATTGACGTCAGTAGCCTGTCCCCAGTTCATGTCATTGACGTCAGTAGCCTGTCCCCAGCCAACCGGTTCTTCTTGTCTAACCGCAAACTCCAAGTGCTATTGACCTCCAGTTTCCTGGATTCACTGGCCGTTTCCCCCTCCACTTCGCCCCCCTGACCATATATGGCCTTAATCGCTCTTCACTGTTCCCATTGGTCCCCTTCTCCCCCCCACCTACTTCCTATATAAAGTAGCGCTTTTCACTTCCTAATCATTGCAGCTACTGCTCTCTGTATTCGCAACGCAATTCACCTGCCCTGAAGATGGAGGCGATACGTTCCTCCGAAACGTCGGCTGAAACAAAGAATACATGGTGCCAGATCCAAGAAGACGACTTTCTTCATAGTCATCGCCGTGAGAACCTCAAAACTTACATCCATTGTCCTGTTTTCATCTAAGATGCCGTTCTGTTTATATTTAAAACAATGTTTTGGGGACTGGATTCTCTCTCCGTCCTCAGGTAAAAGCTACTCAGATAGGCCCAATCGATAGAGCTAGTCCCTATTGTCTATAGCAGGGGTTCTCAGAATTTGTTATACCTGTAGGCCCTACATAAATACTTAATTTACGCTGCCCATAACTATGCCGGTCAGCAAAATATACAGCTCTCCACATTTCTGCAGGTTACAGGGAGTTCTCAAACTGACAGCAAGAACCTAAATAGCTTTACAACCTCTCTACACTTACAGTAAGCTATAAAATGTTTATGTAGTCATGAAAGAATTCATGAAATATTTTGCATGCCGTAGCTATATTTTCCGAAAACACTAATATAATATTCTGAACTATACAATTAAAAAAATAAATGCATAAATGTACTTACTTACTTACTTATTCATGGAGCTGAGCCCTTCTGGAAGAGCAGCCAATTCTGCAGCTACTCAAGAATTTCCCACCAATTTATGGAACCCGAAGGTTTATTACCGTGTTCACAAGAGCCTCCACTGGTCCCTATCCTGAGCCAGATAAATCCAATCCATACCATACCATCCTATCTCTCGAAGATCCATTTTAATATTGTCCACTCACCTACGCCTTGGTTTTCCCAGTGGTCTCTTTCCTTCTGGATTTCCCACTAATATCCTATACACATTCCTCGTCTTCCCCATCCGTGCTACATGCCCTGCCCAACTCATCTTCCTTGACTTGATCATTTTGATTATAGCATAAATATACACTTTAAATAATTCTTGAAAATTTGGCATCTCCACTTAGAGTAATTCTTAATCCAGCTGAGAGTGTTTATCCACAGTTTGAGGAACCATGGTGTGTACATGTATATATTGTGGAATGAAAATTATTTACTTAAAAAACCAATTTTATTTTGAAGAATTCCATCTTCTATGATGCGACGCCATGTAGTTAGTTGAAAGTCAACAGACGTTTCGGTTGAAACTAGGTACCTACTTCACGCTGGTTTCTTGCTTGGTTTATTCTTCTACCCAGAAGATGGAGGCCAGATATTTCTCCGAAACATCGGTTAATTTTCTACGGACTACGCTGTATCACAGTGTATCTTCATAACCACGGTTGCGGGGACTCAAATCCTACAAGTCGTATTTACGTTCATGTTGCTAAAACTTTTTGCCTTTATTACGTGTAGAATGCAATATTTACATCTTTAAAGAATACATGTGCAAATACTGAAACTTATTTAATTATATTTTCATTAAAATATACTGATATTTCGGAAGTCAAATACTTCTTAAATTCGCACCTATTGAATAACCGCAAGGAAAAGAAATGTTATTAAGAAAGCAGCCTTCTGGGATTTGGCACCGTGTATATGTGGTGTTAACCGACGTTTCGGAGGAACGTATCGCCTCCATCTTCAGGGTAGAAGAAAAAATATAAGAAATCTGCAAGCGAAGAGATCGTGAGAACCGGTCTGCTTTTACCGGTTCTCACGGTCTCTTCGCTTGCTTAAACGTTCTCGCTAAGTGCTGTGTGAAAGTAGAAAATTTCTTGCAAAATTTAAGAACTCCACGGCTCTGAAGATTCATATTTTAGTCTTTTCGAATTATGATATCGTGTTTGGGGGGGGGGGTATTTTACCACGCTGTTAGTAACCAGATTATCTCGCGTCGAAATATAGGACGGAAGAAGAAAATTAGAAAAGATTTGGAAGTAAGTGGCCCTGGCCTAATCGAGGCATTTTCCCGGCACTTACCTGGGAAGGGGTCGAGGAAAACTACGCATACCTCAGTCAAGACTGCCGAGACCCCAATTACCTACCAATTACGAGTCCAGAGCGTTATCACTGCATCACCCCGCTCGGTGACACCGTGCTGTCATATAGATGGTTATCGAAATTTTGGAGGAACATGCTACTTCCAGCTTTAAGGGTGAAACCTGAGAACAGAGGCAGTTTCTTCCTCCGAAACTTTGGTAATCTCCAACCCTACTCCAATATGTTGTCATAAGCCAGACGACCACAATTTTCATCAAGAACTTCATCAGCTAACTAACAATCAGTTTGTTAAAATGGACACTGCTTCGCTGTACTTATCTTACATTCGAATTTGATTTTAAGGTTATGCGGTTGAAGCGTGGCCGGTTTGCATTCCTTGTCTGAGCAAACAAGCGATTCGTTATTTACGAAGACTTCGTTTCAAGGCCTTAGATGCCAATGTAATCGTTATGTGAGGCCCCTTAAAATTTATTTTTGTCAGTTTAGGCTTTCATACCTGGTTTCATGTTTACAAAGAGGGTGTCATAAAGACGCAAGATAGTAGAATTATTTTTCTGTTTGTGATAAAACCTCTCTGTCGCAAGATAAAGATACATACAAGAATAGCAATCCACATCAATTCGTTCAGGTTGTGTATTGCCAGATTATCGGGTCTGCAGGGAGTGTCGACCTGCAGCTGTAGCTTCCGCCAGCTAACACTCTTCTGTTTCACAGGTAAGCATTGTGATTATTACACTAAGGGCTAGAATATACAGAACTAAACCTTTTGTGAGACTCTTGACAAACTGAGGGACAGACACAAACTAATAGTCCTGAGGAGATTGCTTGGATGAAAGTAAGAAGAGGATTGAGAAAAATATTGGAGCGCTTCATGATTGGTACATTACATGAAATACTCTTAAGATGATCTACTTAAGAAAGACGATATGGGAGAGGATCATGTAGCAGGCATGGAAGTGATGAGAAACAGAAACACACTCGAGCTTCAATTGCACATAATCATGTAACTACACAGCAACAATCGCTGAATTTGGTGTCTCAAGGTCAGTAGATTTGATAGACTGATAATCACGGAGACACATTTTCATTATGTGCACTTTCGGGGCTCACGACCATATGCAGCTGACGTCCGAAATCTTCTCACAACTGCAGTTAGANTGCGGGGCTTCCTGAGAGGAAACAATCCGTACGTAAGATTTGAGGCTTTCACGACGGTGACTATGAAGAAAGCAGTCTTTTGGGATTTGGCACCGTGTATAAGTGGTGTTAACCGACGTTTCGGAGGAACGTCGGTTAACACCACTTATACACGGTGCCAAATCCCAAAAGACTGCTTTCTTCATAGTCACCGTCGTGAAAGCCTCAAATCTTACGTACGGATTGTTTCCTCTCAGGAAGCCCCGCAAGAAATACTGGCATGGGTGAAAATGTGACGAGAGTATAGTCAAGCCCATACATATCTGAGCCGTTCAGGAAACGACAGAACGCTCACTGAACATATCTAGGGCTGTATTCAGGTCGGGTCATGCCAGGCGTTAAACTGTGGCATATTAACGGGAAGGCCCGAATATATTTATGTGTGACTTCATGTGCCATTGTTGGTGGACGAAGTATCACTGTAGTAGGCTTTGCTATCACCGCCCTGTTAGGTGCCCGTTAGACCATAAAATCAACCACTTCCAGTCTGTTAAATATCTGACACAAGTTTAAGATAATGAAGGGCTCTGTTTGTACTTCTAAGGGCCAAACATATTGTGTAGACGTTTCTCTTAAGTTATGAATATCAGAGTAACTGTAAGATATTCTGATCAGCCTGGATTCTAATTGCATATATATCTAGACCTATTATTAATATTATTATTGCTATGTATTTCATTATGTGAAGAACTTTTACATATACAGGGTGTTTCACGACTTTAGGGCATAACTGCAGGAGGTGATTTCCTAGGTCTTTGTGATCAAAAAAGTTCATATAAACATGTGTCCGATTTTGGACGGTTACGGAGTTATGACCGTTTTATCATTACGTACACGCCCTCGTGTGAACCGCGTCTGCGAGCTGACGGGTCGCTGTCTTTAGCCAGCTATAGACAGAGCGCTCTCGTTATCTCGACACTTGAGAGGTACCTAAGGCGGGGTGGGTTGGTATGTCTGGCGCGGTTCACAACCGAGCGGCAGCCTGTGTTGCGGCCGGCGGTGGCATTTTCGAAAATCAGCTTTCAGCACCAATAAATTCAAATTAAAGGTAATTTCACGAAGTCAACTTTACATTCATACTTTAAATGTATAAATGTATCATGTATTATGCTGGTTTATTATTTTGTTCCGTTTATTGTCAGTAATCGTTACCTTCTATTTTGAGTTTAAAACGGTCATAACTCCGTAACCGTCCAAAATTGGACACATGTTTACGAGTATATGAACTTTTTTGATCACAAAGACCTAGGAAATCACCTCCTGCAGTTATGCCCTAAAGTCGTGAAGCACTCTGTATACAGATTTTTTTTTCCATTTGCCGAACGTGATCTCAACATTTAACCTCCTCTCCATGTCATGATATACGTAGGTAAGTCGATAAGTAATATACACATGTATATAGAACTTAAACAAATAAGAGTACTGATTTGAAAAATGCTTTTATTTCTCAACATAATCTCCCTGTACATTGAGGCACTTGTCCCATCGTTTCACAAGTCCCTGAAAACCAGCAGCATAAAATTCTTTGGGCTGCTGTCGGAACCAGGCAGTGACTTCCCTTTCTACAGCTTCGTCGTCGGGAAAATGTCTTAATGCCGACTCCTACTGTAACATCCTCAGGAAACTTCGTAAATCCATTCAACGGAAGCAACCAGGACTCCTCACTAAAGGAGTGTTGCTCTTGCATGACAACGCGCGTCCCAATACTGCCAACAAGACCAATGAGACGCTGCGAAATTTCAAGTGGGAAGTCCTCGATCATCATCCGTATAGCCCTTACCTTCCTCCAAGCGACTTCCATTTGTTCGGTCCTCTTAAACATCACCTTTCGGCTGAAAATTTTCCCGAAGATGAAGCTGTAGAAAGGAAAGTCACCGCTTGGTTCCGACAGCAGCCCAAAGAATTTTATGCTGCTGGTTTACAGGGGCTTGTGAAACGATGGGACAAGTGCCTCAGTGTGCAGGGAGATTATGTTGAGAAATAAAAGCATTTTTCAAATCAGGGCTCTTATTTGTTTAAGTTCTATATCCATTTGTAACTTACTTATTGACTTACCCTCGTATAACCATGTTTTGTATGAAGCTCTTAGATCCTGGCTACAGTGGTCGTTACTAGCAGACAGTAAACCGAAAGGTAGACAGAAATTCCCCACGGCATAAATGTTGTTATTTTACATTTCACAAGGTGGGGCTTCTCAATTTATCTAATCCTTCCAGCCGCACTATGGCCTTGGGGTCGACTCAGACTCTAACAGAAATGAGTACAAGGAATTTTCCTGGGGGTAAAGGGCGGCCGGCGAGTAAGGCTGACAACATTACAGCCATCTGTGAGCCGATAGTCCTGATAATGTTTGGACTCTTAACGCCTCACAACCCTATGGGCCTCCGAGGACTGTTACAGGGATAGCTCTACCTTTTTACAAAAGAGAGTATTTCCATAGAAATTTCATTTTTTTGTAATGTCTTTTAATACACTTCATTTTAAAACCGAATTAATGGAGACAGTGGTATTTAAACTTCAGATAATTTGGGGCCAGCCATTATATTATCGATTTTAGAGTATTAAAATGTATGATATTATGGCGGTCTCCGATGACATGACGTTCATATCAAGTTTCGTGAAAACCAGTCAAGCGGTTCAAATGTTGAAGGGAAGAGTATAGATATGTATAAATACACAGACAGCAAGATGAGCTCATGAACCTGCCTCACTGTCCGAAAAAGAGGCCTACAATATCCGACAAATTTCATGAAGGGAGCGGAATATAAATTAGTCATGATATGCGGACATAAGTCATATGTACAGAAATTTGATTAGTAAATATTCTACAACAGTGAGACAGAGATTGGACAACTGTTAATTTAACATTGAATCTGAAATTATTTAAGTAAACATTCATGCAGACTGAACTGCAAAGGCCTGAGACAGGCCCCAACAAGGATACTTCGTTTTAATGGTTGATTTCGTTTCTTGTCAGCAATGAATAATTAGCAAGCTAGTTACTGTAGTTATATTTTAACTAAAACACAAAATGAAACCAAGCATCCATGCAAATCTGTTACGTAATTTTCGATTCAGTTCTATGGATTATAAGCAGAGATATTCTATCTTCTCCCGCGATATGCTTGATTTTCTTGCCAGTTTCAGACTGTACATGCAGCAGCTAACACTTTAAGGTAGGAATTACACAGAAATTAAGTAACTGAGATGTACTCATATAGTTTACTTAAAGAATATGATTTTTAATGAGAATTAAAATCGCATCCAAAAAGTTGTCCTAAGTTGCACATCACAGGAGCAGCTGTTACTATGTTACATGCTACTAAGAGTACTACTAAGATCACTACCAGGTTCGCAACAAAAGCAGAAAACAGACAAGACAGTTATACTCATTAGACAGCTCTGTCAGTGTTTCTGAACTGGTGGAACCTGACGGCCTTTTGAGTATGACATGTTTCTTTTTCAATTGTTCTTCCAGTCCATTCAGGGCCCAGGCCTCTTATTCAGTTTCAAAATCATTTTTCACACACAGCAGGACACCTTACACGAGTGATCAGCCCGTCAGAAAGCAGCTACCTAAACACATGATAACACAAACAAAGAATAAACATATACACACATCAAACATCCATGCCCTGAGTCGGTTTTGAACACATGATTCCAGCGTTCAAGCGAGCGCGGCTACTATGACCAGCTTGGGTAGGATATGAGGTCTCGAAAATAATAATTAATTGTTTAACCAAAATCACAATTATACAGGGATTTCCATATAACTCGTGAAGTTTGTCTCTCTCGTGTGGAATGCTGTCTTTCAGAAATCCCTAAAAATGACGGAGTTAGGCCAATGTTAACAGAGCTATATTGATTTTATGTACTAGCGTCCATTTGTCTATAATCCGTCTAAATTGCAACACTTTTTATTTTACACTTCAATACACTCTCTAACACAACATGTTTCGGCCTAAAACGGCCATCTTCAGGTGTTTTTTTTACAATATATATGGACAAATACCGTCTTAAGTGCAACAATTTTATTGTACTTTTTACTTTACTTTTTTACAAAGATCTTATAGACGTTTTAACNTCGAAATTTTAATTAAAAAGAAGACTACAGCTTGTGGTTTTTTAAAATGAATTAGAACAGTGAAACAGTGTAGGAGTTTCGACACAATTTCGACAAAATTTTAATTGAATATCTGTAAAAAACACCTGAAGATGGCCGTTTGAGGCCGAAACATGTTGTGTTAGAGAGTGTATTGAAGTGTAAAATAAAAAGTGTTGCAATTTAGACGGATTATAGACAAATGGACGCTAATGTGAACAATTGCAACAGGATGCTGAAATACCGAAAGATTCTATGTAATTTTAATAATACAGACTATTAAAACGAGCTACAATGATTAAAATCTTAAGAATTCCATTAATGATTAACATATTACTAATATATATAACTGTAAAAAATGTTTCTTAGAGAGCGAGAAGATTTGGAGTTACTGCGGTGGGACTGTGATTTTTGACAAAAAGATCGGTGGGATGCAAGATGTAAAAGGCTGAGAATGACTTTCCCTTGTAATGCCTATGTTCAAGTAAGAAAAACTAAAATCGTTTTAATGGTATAACTGTCTCAACTGTAACAGTCATTTTGAGTTTTCAGAAACTTCTGTAGATGTATCCTGTACTACCGTAAAGATGAGCTGAATACCACAGAAAGCAAGAACAAAAGACAATAAATATCACTTCATATTTATTTATATATACTTTTCCCTGATATCGTATTTCTTTCTTGTCAATTTAGGTGGAGTTGGAACTACCAACAAAGATGGGACATGCGCACTTCTACCTGGCTCTCTTGTTCATATCTGGATACTTCGGAGTACACGCATCACCTACACAGAGTCCAGTAGGAAGAAACGTAACACATGCATCTGTCGAGGAGGGTGGAGGAAAGGGCAAAGAGACCCAAACACATCCTCAAAAGTACAACTCAACTGAGAGTAAGAGCAGCTCGGACGAAGTGAAGACGTCTAACCGCACCGTTACTCCTCTGGAGGATCTTGCTACCAGTCTCGATGAAACCACATTTGTCCACTTAACCAATCTACAACTTTCAATCCCATCGGATCTAGATTTTGGTAACATCAATCCAGATTTCTCGAGAATGATCTTGAATGTAAACTCGTCGATAAAATCAGTGCAAATTGAAGGAGATTACAATATTTTTGCAAAAAATGATGTCACCCTTCCAATTTATGGCCAGGGTAATATCACTGTCAGATTCAGCAACGTTACTGTAACGGGAAGAACTTTCCTAGCACTCACTCCTGCCGCTCTTCTTGCTCTTGATTTTGATTTCTTATACATCCCAGAAGAAATAACTGCCCAAGTTGTTCCCTTTTCTGAAACAACTTCAGCAGAAGAAGTGTATCTTTCAAAGGATATTGTATCCGGAACATTGGCCTCGCTGATCAATAGGAAGGTGGAAGAACAGCTTGACTATTACTTAGAAATGCACATAACTCTAGCTTTAAGTAAGATAAATGTCTTCACTGTAGGACACAAGAATGAGCAATCAGTAACCAACGAACTGCTGACACAGAATGTACAGATCGGCGATTTGTTTGATGGAATGTTAGCAGATGTAAAGAAAGACATTTTGGAAAATCGTAAGGATGAGACAAACATACCAAGTTTCCATAGGAATTTCTCCGAAAAGCTAGAATCAGTTATGGCAAATGGTACATTTTCAGCTGAGAGAGGCTGGATAATAGGTCTCTCAACGTTCAAGAGATCCTCAAACGTGAGTCTGGTCAAGTCCGGAGAGATGTTTATTTTATCGGCGATATTGGAATTTGAAGATCTGCAAATGGGATACGACAAATACATGGCAACGTTTCTGAAATCGAAAATCACAGGGAAGTTGGATGGATACTTCATACATAAGCAATTTATAATCAAAGTGGCCATGGATCCAAAAGAAGATGGCACATGCTCATCAACGCTTCATGAAATAAGATTCTTCAAGACCAACGGCTATAGAATTCAGGAGTTAACAAATATAGAAGCTTTCGACTGGTTACGCATAAGAATAAATAATTGGTTGATAGGGTACTTTAAGACTGAAGTAGTTAAGGATATTGAGAACGTTCTGAGCACCGCTGTGCGCAATTCTTTAAGTCGATTTGACTGCGGGGAATATCTTCCCAGCTTCAAAATCTTGCTGTGACTCAACACAGACTTGAAAAATGCAGTTATCTTATCGCAGGGAATAAATCTAATATGAGAGCAGTTTTACTGAATATTCTTGCTTTTTATCAACGGTAATACTGATCTCCTTAGAGTAGATTAGAAGTTAGACCTCATTTCAACTCTGAGAGTTATGAGAGTTGACGTGAAATTTTCATTTGAAATACCTAATTGTATTATGTTTTCTTGAATCACAGAGCAAAGCAGAGATGATCTCAAAGCCTACGGTGGAAAGTCGCCGAATGCAATGTATATATTGTATTCGATTTCTTTTATAGGGGAATATTTTTGAAATTGTAGAAAACTGAATTAATTTTTTTAATACATAAGGGAATTTTCTTAATTAGAAAATGTAGTTTCGTTAATAGAGCTGCGTATGTATTGAAATTAGCCTTTTTCTCGTCTTGTTAGTAATGACTACTTCCTGGTCCAAAATAGACACAATAAGGATCGTTTATCAATGGACCTAAAAAATTTAAGACAGTGAAATATGCCATTTAGAGGGATTCTAAGGTACATTTCCTACTTAATACAGAAATCAAGAGACAGCAGTCCCGCTGTAGTTCAAACGAGGATCGAATTTCAGACTGGCGAAATTCGCTCTCGCCATGAGAGCTGTTTTTAAAATGTAACAAATTTACACAACATATCTTATCGAGATATCGGAGTCGTGTACTGACTATAGTTCTTCAAACTATTCTACATTTTGTAGTAAGCCTGATGTGTAATTTCTTCTTTTAAAAATAATGTTGGAAATAAACGAACACTTATCATCAGACTATAACTTCGATATCATTTGTAAGACAAAAACTCATCCATCCCTGAGGTTGGGCTTCAGATCTCCTCTTTTGTATTTCCTTTTAGAATTACACATTTCAAACAAACGAACCCTCATCATCAGACCACAACTTCGATATAAATTCCGAGGCAATGAAGTAAACATGGCGGTTGGGCTGTTAGAATACATGCTTCATCTCCCAGACATACGAGCACATGGGTCTGTCCTCTCTCCGAAGGTCGACAATCATGACTCATTTTTTGTGCTTTTCTTAGTCCCTCCAGTAGGCCATGACCACTTCCTTTCACATCCTTTTCACCATACATATTTACCAATTGAATCCATGTCATGTAAACTTCCGTCTTTCGATTAGAATTAATGTATGACTTTCTAATCCACGATACAAGATTTCCCTTGAAGAGTACAAGGTTAAGTAGCGTTAAGCTACTCAAGAAATTACCCGCCTTTTGTATAATCCAAAAATACATAATCGTGTTAAAAAACAATTGAGCTACGTGAATGCAATCCAAATATTTATATTTATAATTACGGTTCATTGTATGTTCCCATCTACATATATAGGTCTCCAACAAGTATTTTACCGAAGAAAGCAGTCTTGTGGGATTTGGCACCGTGTATATGTGGTGTTAACCGACGTTTCGGAGGAACGTATCGCCTACATCTTCAGGGTAGAAGAAAATATATAAGAAATCTGCAAGCGAAGAGACCGTGAGAACCGGTAACCATGCGCGTTTGTCTGTTATTGCAAAAAGGATCTAATTACTAAACAAGGTCATATTTTCCAAATTATTTCTGAAATTCCTTATTGTTGGAGGACCCCAATATAAGCAGCTAAGTCAGTATTCAGCTCCCTAACGATAAAATTGAATTCCATTGTTCTCAAGGCCAAATCCCATAAATGAACTCGATCCTGAAGCAGCGACGTCCAAATCGCAACCTCGAATTCAAATTTGTAAAATAAAAAGGCCTGACAGTAACAGAAGATTTACCGAAAAAACTGGATGAAGCGGCAACGATTCTGACTTGTATTCCGGAAATTTCTTTTTCGAAATTCGACCAGCACATTGGCTACCTTGGCTGATATTTTCCTTGGTTTTCTTCCTACGTGCATAATGATGAGCAGACATTACTTGTAATTAAGGCAGAACCGTTACCTTCCATATCAATACCAATCCGTTCTCCATTTATCATTCTGCCAGTCGACGCCAAGTAGCCTTAACGTGCTGACAGAATCGTTATAACCACGAACAAAGAACGTAATATCTGACAATTTAAGCGTCTTATGTGGAGGTGATATCTCGTATATTCGTGTCTGGCCCCAGTATCAGCTACTTAACTGCTCAATATGTCTGTTTAAAATTCGGTATGGGAAATATACATATACATACACAGCGTATGTATGGGACAATTCGCGTTCACATCCAGCCATTTTTATTGATAAAAAAGTCCACTTTATTTAAGGATATAAATGAATTTCTTATGTGTATCATAAATTTTATAAAGACTTAAAGTGAAAAATGAAGATACTTGTATCATATAAATATATTTTGCTATTATATATGTTGGCTAATTGTTATCAAAAACACAACATACACAATTTCGGTCTTACAAGACCATCATCATGTAGTCGCACGTCATTAAAATGTAAAGAATTTATACTTAGATGGTAACTCGCATCTGAATTTCATATAGAGAGTCTAGTGGAAAAACTTTTTTTCAAAGGACGTAAAATAAGCTTCGTAAACGGCAGATATGGCATTTTGTGATTTTTCTATTTACATTACATGACACCCTATCTTATTTGGTTATTGCAGCAACTGAGATTGCCTGCAAGATGTCGGAATTCTTGCAGATAAGCTGGAACCATAATTTTCCCAGGTATAGTGTCTTATTATTCCCACACGACTGACAATGTGAATGCTAGATTCATCCTTGATCTGGCCAATTCTAATCTCAATTGAGGTGCGTTCCGTTCACTCTACATTTCCAACAAAAATTTATATCCTTGAGGTCGATTATCTGGTCCACACCTTAGAGGAGTGTAACAGCAAACAGTAAAATCTTTTCCTACGGATTTTTCAAGAAACTGCTCTGACGGGAATTGACCTTGGAGAGGCTGTTGTCTGTGATAACGGAAAGGCGTTGTACACTGGAGTTCTAAATGCCTACTCTGTGTACCTCACATGTCTGGACGTCCACTTCTTGAAGATATAAAATTCTTTGTTACAAATATAATCAAACTAAAAATATCATATTATATTTAAGCATCCTGTTGCATTTCTGTAACATTCACAGGCTTGCACATTGAAACAACAGGCCGCCGAAAAAAAAAAGACATGGACGGTACAAATATATATTGTTTGGGGCAAGTGGTCAACGTGCTAGAGAGATGTAGGAAGTGTAAAAAATTTAAGAAGCGTAATTAAGAAATGTAAATTTTAAATTGAATTTTAAAAATTTTAATTAAATTTTATTTCATTTAGTAAGTCGCAGTGTATGGTGAATTGACTAATGTTAGCTGGATCGTAACCGCAACATTAAAATAGAACCATGCAATTACACGTGAAATGTATCACCGATATTCGATGAAGGTAACAGTTTTGGCGAATTGAAGAACTTGATGATGGCCGTTTGGAGCGGAAACATGTTGTAAAAAGTGAAAATTCTAAGGATAAAGTGGTTGCATTTTTAACGAAACTGTAATATAAATGTTCTATGTGAATAAAGATATCATATTTTACAAGCAAGATAATATTTTTTTTCTTTTATATAACTAAATATTCGACACACAGAAATATAGTTTAAATAAAAATTGTAGATTGGTATTTTATTAATATATATATATTTTTTTTAATTTGTTACGTTGAGCCGTCATGAGAAGGCAACGAGTTTGAGCTTCACATAAAGTAGACGTTAAATTACGCTGATATAGGTTAAATTATTTTCCCTTTAAAATATTTGGTGAAGGACACCAATAACGAACCAATTTAATCGACAAAAGTTATATTTGAGAACCTAATAGTTCTTCAGTTATTTAAAAATTCCCCGCCATTTATGGTACAAGAAATTTCATAAAATCTCTTCACCGGTCACTGTACTTAGCGATATGAATTCATTTAATGACCATCCACGCGATTTCTTCCCATATAAACCAAGTCTTCCGAGTGGCCTCTGGTTTCAAACTTTCCGACCAAGATGCTGTACGTATTTATTGTCCCTCCCATGTGTACTACAAATCTCACTCATTTAGTTAATATAAAATATTCTCAACGATAAATATAATATTGTAATTAATATTAGTTCAGTGATTAGCTGAAACGTGAATGTAGCACGGAAGAGCCCTAAGTTCTGTCTTCTGGGATATAATGCCGTGTAGCTTAGAAGTCAACCGACGTTTCGGAGCAATATTTCTGCAAGGTGGAGCAATAAGCCAAGCAAGAAAACAGTTTGAATCTGGTAGCAAGCAGAGCTCCGAAACTTCGGTTGCCTTTCAACGGGCTACATAGGGTTACATCCCCAGAAGATAGGATTTTTTTTTCACATTATTTCTTGGTTGAATAGTTATTGAGATGATATTTATCGGGCATTTCTGCATGCATGGAAGAATTGAAAGCGAAATTATCGTCACAAGTTTTATACAGACTTCTGCAGACAACATTTAGAATCATTTACAGGAATCGAAATATATTTCTTCTGTAATCTTCGGGTGAATATCTGCTCCCCAATACAAGTAACGAGGTACTACGTACCGAGTCACACTCGCAGTTTAATTACACAGTTTCACGTTTATGCAGATGATATTGTTATTAAGTGTCGGTGTAACATTTCCTTCAGTTTTGTTACATTTTAGGCCCATTAGTTCATTTAGGGCCTGACAACCTGCGTTTATCTTAAATGTACCAAATTTCGTGACACTTTATTTGGCGGTACGAAACTGGCTATGATACTAGGATTACACTCCATAGTTACTGTTTATAATTTTCCATAACAGAGTCATATTTACAGATCATAGTGGCCGCGTGGCCTAGGTGCGGCCACACAGAGCGCTACGTACGCTACGTATGCTATACAAACAGAAACATATCTCCCTTTATTGCCAATGTGACTGGCCACACAGACTTCCGTACGCTACGTACGCTATGTTTCCTGTGTTAACTGCGTCGCAGAGTGTACACAGCGTACGTAGCGAACATAGCGTAGCGCTCTGTGTGGCCGAACCTTAAGGCATGAACTGTGTTCGGCCGCTTGAATACTAGAATCTTGAGTTCGACTCCCACTCGAGGCATGGATGTCTGTCTACTTTTATTCTGATTTTGTGTTGATCCGTGTTTAGATAGCGGCCTTGCGACGGGCTGATCCTCCGTCCAAGGAGTCCTACCGACTTTGTACAGATTAAGAAACTGTAAAACCGGCCAAGATCCACAAGGGCTGTAGAGCGATAGATAGATAAGAGACATATTCAATTGCGCAACAGTACTGTGAGGAGGTCAGAATAAGCAGCATCGAATGGTGATGCAATCAGTGAACAATGAGGAGGAAATAATGTGTTAGGAAGCGGTCGTGTCCTATTTAACATAGTCACGTTATATCAGCATTTGTCTGGAGACACTGAAGAAAGCTGCGAAAGACTCTGTAAGTAAAATCGTTATCAAGGTCGAGATCTTTCGAAGTCGAAGTTAAAGTTGTATGCACTCGACCGAAAGTTCGGTCACGGCATTCACGTGCTACTCGTATTTCTGCGCAACGAAGATCATGTCGACAGTCTACATCAGGAGTCTCCAAACTTTTCGAAATGCGGGCCACATTAGGTAATTCAGCACTTTCAACGGGCCGGATAAAATGAGAAATTAATAACTCTAGGTATATGAGTTTTATTGAAAGTACAGAATTTCATAAACTAAATACAAAGTACATGAGAATAAATTATCGTGTATTAATGACAACAGACAGTAGCAGAAAATGCTCATATTTTCATCACA